ATCACATGTGCGCCAGTTGACTGTGGGCCCATACTGTGTATATTTCTATTGTATTCTTGCAATAATTTGTACGCATAGTTTAGCACGAGATTTGATACTCAACAGCATTTGCTGTCAGTCTATTTTTGTGTTAATAGAAAAAGTATGTATGCGTCTCAGATGCAATGCCAATACAGTAAACTGTTAATAATTTTTGCTGCTAGAATTGTTCATGATTTGATACTTTCGTAGCATTTATGAAGACAAAATGTTACGCTTCTCACAGTCAGAAAATTGTTCTTGCAAAATAAAAGCAGTTCACAGTTGTCTTATTACCGTTCTAAATTTTGTTCAATTCAATCTACAGGTCTCCATCATTGGCTGCTAAAAATGCTCAAAGTAAAGAAGAACAGTTGAAACACAGACCCAGATTCAACGCAACCGTTGGAAGAGCCACTCCATTGGGTGGAACAAAATCATCACAATTTTAACCAATAAGTTAATCAAATCATGTCTTTTGAATTAGGTCATAGTTCACATTGCTGCTCAGCCAATCAAATCATGAACATAAATGTACTGGTATACAACGTATGCTAGACTGGCAGTTTTATTGTTTTATATAATTCCTTAAAGAACAAGTTTGTAGGTTAGTGTGAAATTTCCACGTCTGGTCTGTTCCACCTAGCCCTCTATAGTTGCCACCTCATTTTTGAGGGGATAAATATGCTAATGAGTAGCATGAATTGCAAGTGCCAACCAATAAAAATGGCAGCCTTTGATCTGACCTGTTCTATGCAACTGTGACCTAACACTTAGAATGTGCGTGTCTACTTTCCTCATTTGGAAGTTTTCCACTACTGGGTTCCATAATGTCACTGCATATCATGAATAATTAAAAGCAATGAATACTCCTCAGAATAGACCAATCGTGGTATTTATAAAATTGCCAAGACTTTGCCGTATGCTCGAGTCAATGAATGTGCTACTTCCAACTCAACAGATTTGATTGATTTCCCAGTGCTAAAAACAAGTTATTAGTATATTCTGAGTTATTGATACTGAACTAAAAATATGAAATGCAATATTAATAATTTCAATTTATTATTAGCAAATTAATTGGTAAGTACTTGATTTTAGAAATTACTGGTCATTGTAAATCTACATATTTTTGAATTTAGTTCTCTCCATCTGTGTCATTGTTCAACATAGTACACTTACAAGTGTGACTAAAAATTATTTGGGGATTCCAATCAATCTTTCTGTAAAGAGAGAGCACACTGGCCCTTACTCCTTGCCAAAACTGTTATACATATACTGACTGGTACGAACTTAAGGTATGTCGCTATAACATTTCTTTTATAAAATATAAATATCCTTTCATGTTATCAATTGAAAACGGAGTACTTATGTTTGTAAATATTTTTAATGAATATGTAACTTGATAAAAAATAGATTACCAATTATTAAAGATTTCTAATTAAATATTTTATTAAAACAATTGTTTTTGATTTGCTGCGAGACTTGAATGAAGTGAATGAAGAACATCTGACGTAGAAACTACAGTATTTTTAAAGTTCAATTTCGTCATTGTAAGATCTGTAAAAACCCCTTTTGTAGCCAACATAAAAAATTTAGTACGGTTCATGAGAAATCTTAGAATCCCAAAATTTAATTTAGTCGCTTTCTAAAACATAAAGTGGCCTTAAGTGATTACAGTTATGTTTGATTCGATGATTAAACACCACAACTTTGTTATTTCCAGAGTATGGTATCAAAACAATTGTTTGTTTGTTATGCTGTCCTCGACAGTATTTATTACATAACTGCAGGACACAGCCTGGAGAAACTTTGTAGTAATGTGTTGGACCAGTCCATATCCTGGACTGGTAATTACTAGAATATTTTATTTCTGTTGTGTACCACCAGCAAATCGGTCATTGTTGCCTTTCGTCAAACAACTCGCATGTGCTAGTCGAGTTCTCTTATCACAAAACAAAACAGCTGTGTTGATGAAGGCTCATTCACATTATTATGATAAACATCAAATTTTGTATAAATAGATCAATGGTAAATATAATTTTCCAGTTTGAAAAAAAGGTTTTGGTATCTCTCGAAAAAAAATCTGCAGACGTGATAATGATTGATACCACCTTAGTGCAAGTATACTATCTTCACACTTCAAAATCATTTACAGATGCAGCAAGCAAGCAACTCGCCAGTCACAATAGTGCAGCAACAAGGCTAGAACAGAGTCTACACGACTTTCAGTGCTCCAATATTTCAGGAATTGTTGCCATAGCAACTGATTACTTCATTTTTCATGGTGAATACAATGATCACTAAGTGTTCTGTATATACACAGTCAGCTGGCGCACACG